TGAGCTACCTATAGCCTTTGTCACTGGGGACTCATCACCAGCCACCAGGAAAAGGGCTGGAAGTGCTTCCAGGCAAGAGGCTGTAGAGGGTTCCACCCGCAGCCCTCGGCTAGCCTTCTTACCGACCCCGAGGGAGTCCTGAGAGGTGCGACCACCCCAGAGGTCATTCAGGGACCCCCTCCCGGACACGCTGGTGCCCCAGCCCTTTCTCTGCTCTTCAGCATCTCTGGTGGCCCTGGGCAGGACAGTGGGGCTCCATGGTGCCAGCCCCATGCACTACAGGGTGGCACAGCATGGATACGGGTGGAGGTGCCTGCTGTCCCCAGGACTCTCCTGGGGGGCAGCCATGTGCCAGCAGGGTAGATATGGCACTGGAGCCCACTCCATCCCTGACTCCCAGGAGAAGGGCCAGAGTGGGGGACAGGATGGCCCTCCAATGTCCAGGGCATGGGGCATTTGCAATGCAGGAGCCTGGTCTGAGGGCAGCCCAGCTACTGAAAGCCAGGGCGGGGTTTGCTAGGGTAGGCAGGACAGCCCAGGCTGCAGGGCCCAGGGCCAGCTGACCTGGACACAGGGTGGCAAGGAAGGGGGCTCAGGGAGGCCCCCGGGCAGCTCCCAGGGTGTGTCTCCGCCATGGGGGACCACTTGAGGACGGGGCCAAAGGCAGAGAGGCCAGCCTGAACTCAGGTGCCCGCATGGCCCTGACGGGTCAGCTCAGTGGGCAGGAGGGGAGTGAGCTCACAGTGCCCAGGCGACGGCAGGCTGGCCTTCCTAGATGGGACAGGTGGTGCGTTCCCTGCCCTGCCCTGCTGGGCCTACAGAGGCCCGGCCCAGGTCAGGCACAGGCCCCAGGCTCCAGGGCTCAGGGCCCTGGGGCTCATTGCTGTGTGGAGGGGGCTTCTGTGAGCCCTCCCTCCAGTACTGAAGGTTGGGCTCCCCTCCAGGTGGCTGGGGTCCCCCTGCCAGGTCTCCTAGGTGGCTGGGGGGTCCCTCAGGAGGACAGAGACTGCCACCTTCTGGTCTAGCTGGAGGGGGCTGCTTCTGCACCAAGGTCTCCCCAAACTGCCAGGGTTCCCAGAGGCAGTTGCCCAGGTAAGCCGAGGCGCCAAGCAGTGACTAGGGAAGAGTGAGCGGTGCAGGAACGGGGAGCAGAACGAGGGGGGGCGGGGGGGCGAGGGGGGGGAGGAGCTAAGGGAGCCGCCCCGAGTCTGGCCCAGGAATTCAGGGCTCAGGGGCCGATGGGCAGAGCCCTTCTCAAGACCGACTCGGATGGGCAAATCTAGGCTTTCAGATAAAATGCACGTTTTAGAAACATTTTACGGTTATAAGGTGTGGAAAGGCTGGCCCGGTGATACACACCTGCAGTACCAGCTCCTCAGGAGGATCACAAGTTCAAGGTCAGCCTCAGCAACTTACTGAGAGTCTACCTCAAAATCAAAAGTGCTGGGGTGTAGCTCAGTGGGAGAGAGCTTCCCTAGCTGGGTAAATCACTGGGTTCGATTCTCAGCATCATGTAAAAATAAATAAAATAAAGTCATTGTGTCCATCTACAACTAAAAAAAAAAAAATCAAAAAAATCCAATTGTAGCCATTTGGAGATCCAGTTGCAGCCATTTAGATTAGACCCCCTTCCTTTGCCCGCCCCAATTTAAAATTAGCCAATCACAGTAGACTGTAACCTGGGGCTTCTGCTATGGGGCCAGGGGCAGCGCTAAGTCAGAGGGAAGAGCAGGCCAACCACCTGCCCAGGTGTGCTTGCTAGCCAGGCTCCAAAGCCCGCCCACTTCCCAGCGTGTGTGTGACTTCTTGCCACGGGGACTTCTAAGAGTCACACCTCACCTTCCTAATGAAGGACTCTCGTGACGTACTACTGGAATTCTTCTCCTCTTCTTCCTCCCTGACTTACAGAGTCAACCTTTTGTTTATCTCCGTCTGGATCCCAATACTTCCCAGTTTATTTTGTTGCTCGACAACAGCTTTGGACACTGGGTCCCCTTAGGATAGATCCTATGACAAAACCATTTTAATAAATCAATTAATTAATAGACGAAGGAAGAGGATAGGGAAAAGGGGGTCCTGTGTGCACACTCAATACCTTAAAGATAAAGGCCGGGGGCAGGAGAGTGGGGCTCTGCTGGGGACAAAGCAGTCGGCCACCCCCTTGGCCCTGACCCATTTCACACCTGGGCCTCCACCTGGAGCGGCTTGGTGGGCACACAGCCCCTGCCCTACAGACCCAGCTGGGCATTCCGGAGGACCAGCGCTCCAGAGGGTGTGCAGGGAAGGACGAGGGCTCCAGCGCCCGAGGGAGGGCAGGGGACCGCAGCGGTGCCCTCTGCCAGCTTGCCAACACAGATCTGCTCCACCAGCTTCCAGAACATGGAGGACTTCCTTGCTCAGAGCCATCTGGGCCTCCCCACACACAGAGGTCACCTCATGTCTAGGAAGACCCCACGTTACCTGAGGTGGAAGGGGGACCCACCCATCCAGGATGGGGCACCGCAGCCTTGGAGCACCCAGCAGCGGCCCAGGGGTTCATGCCAGCCCCACCCCATGGGGTGGTTTCACAGACTGCATTACGTCACGCAGAGGGTCTCTTTGGCCCCCAAGGCCCACTGAGTGGCCGACATAGGCCCCTCTGCCCCATTCATGGTTTACGCCATTTTGTGTGGGTCACTGACTCGTGTTTACAAAGGGGCCCCATGTGGGTGTGGGTGAGGTGCAGTCCTCCTGGGTAGCTCCAGATAGCCCTTCTGCCTCGCCCATCATGCCCTGGAGGCTCTGAAAATCGGACTTCCTGCGGACCTTGGTTAGATCCTGCCTATCTCCCAGTTCCTCCAGGCCTCTGTCCCCAGGCAGGTCTCCTGGGCGCAGCTCCCTCCTACACACACACTCTGCTGGGTCCCCTGGCTGCCCTGACTTCCCAGCCTCCCCATGGTGCCTGGTGGCCCCAGCAGGCACAGGGCCACGCCCGCCCGGGAGGCCTCGCTATCAGCAGATGCAGAGTCTGGGCCAGGCCTGGGGAGCAGGGGTGGGGGCCCTGCACTTCCTGCCTGTCCTTCACCCAGGGCACCCAGCCGCCCAGCTTTCGGGTGTGTTGACAGACGGGCGGATGCACCTACGTCCTGGGCGGGCAGCTGTGGTGCAAGGCCCTGCCTGGCAGGAAACCACGCAGAGGAGCCGAGGAGAGGAAAGGAGAGGGGCGACCTCCATGGGGCCCGGGAGGCGAGTCAGGGTCGCCAAGTGCCAGATGCTGGTCACCTGCTTCCTTGTCTTGGTAACAGGCAGGGTAGGCAGGAGGGTTGGGGTGGCAGGGTGGCCCAGGCCTACACACGCACACACACACTTACACCCACCAGCCCTGCCGCCCCAGTCTGCCCCGGCACACTTGCGCTGGAACCCTGGTGGGCACTCCTGACATCTGGATAGGAGGGCCCTGTGGACAGTGTCCATCCTCCTGAGGGACAGTGCAGGGCCTAGATGAGCCTGGGTTGGACCCAGGCCCTGGGTGGCCTGGGCCTGGGGTGGACGGGCTACGCCAGGGGTAGCCAGGGAAGGGGCACTGGCTACCTGGGCTCCAGGGCTCTCAGGCCTCCTCCTGCTCTGAGGGGAGGGGGTCTTCCTGGGCTGGGGAGGGGTCAGGGCTCTGCAGACTGATGGACCCAAGGTTCTGGGTCCTGGGGAAACCGTGCGATGAGTGTGTGTGTCCACGCGTGTGTGACGGTGTCTGGGTGGAGGCTTCTGAGACCACCCCAGAGACGCCCCACGGTCCTCAAGTTCAGACATCTCCTGTGAGGCCAGAAACCAGAGGGTCTGGGGTTAGACCCTGCCCTGTAGGGCCTCAAGCTCCCCACCCCTGGGACAGCTATTGCTGCCCCATGCTCTGAGCCTGCCCATCCCCAGCTGCTGAGCCTCTCTATGGCCACCGCGATGGCTCTCCTTCACTTCGAGGACCGCTTTGCTGTGGTCAGCCGTGCATCCGTGGACAGTAACCCGTTGGAGGCCGTGCACCGCTGGGGTGAGTGAGGTCAGAGCCACCACAGGGCACAGGGGGAAGCAGGCTGCTGGTGAAGAGCTCTGGGGACGAGGGTCCAGCTCCCCAGCCCCAGCCCGTCCAGAGGAGCTGGCTTTGGGCAGGAACCAGGGGTCAGGGGCTGGAAGGAGCACCCCTGGTGTCCTGGACAATGGCTGGGATTCCTGCCCTCATCTCCCACCCCACAGGTGTGTGGGGACAGTGTGGTGTACGTGGCAGTGATGGGACAGAGGTCCCTGCTGTCGGAGCTCAGTCCACATCAGGGGCTGCCTGGAGCTGGACTTGGAGGGTCTTGTGGGATGCAGCAGTGAAATGTCAGTGTTCAGAGGGCAGAGGACACTGAGGAAGGGCCAGCGCCTGCTGGGGTGGCCCCCTTCCACCAGAGCAAGGCGCCTGCTTCAGGGAGGGCATGTCGCAGCAGAAGGCTCAGGAGGGCGGCTGCCCAGCGGGCGAGGGTGGGGGACACAGGCCATGAGTGTGTGCCTGCAGGTCCAGGTCTCCTGCTCCCTCGGCCCGAGCCACCCTGGAGCAGGAAGCCTGGGGCCTGGGTCTGGGCTGATAAGGCCACAGCCTCACAGGGACACCTGTCACTGGGACACGGTGGCAGCTTGAAGATAGCCCCTGAAGCCGGGAGAGGAGAGGAGCAGTGCCCGCCCCAGGCCCCGCTTGCTCCCTCGTCCCCCTTGCCTTGGGAGGAAGGAGGTCACTGGGCAGTGGGAGGCACATCCCTGTCTGATGGGGAAGTGTGGCCTCCCCAGAGGTCCAGCCCCACCCCCATGAGCCCCGACTGGGAGGCAGGCCCAGGCTCTGTGCCTCAGGCCCCATCCCAGGCCACCCAACCCTCCCCTCTCCTCCCACCCAGTCTTCTCCATGGGGATCAGCCTGGCGGGCCTGCTGAGCCTGGGAGCTACCCTGAGTGCTGCAGCCACCATGAGAGAGGCCCCAGGCCTCCTGGCCATGGTGAGTTCTCGGTGACCTTGGGTTCCCCAGCCCCCAGACAGGGCCAGGACTGGGGAGGTTGTCAGCCCAGGGAGCACCCTGAAATGTTCAAGCAGAAACTGGTGCTAGCTGACCAGTGCACTGCCCAGGGCCTGCTTCACTCGTCCTCCTCACACCCAGCAGCACAGCCCTGAAAGCTTGAGCCAGCCCTGGAGCCTGGAGCCCTCCCCTAAGGACCTGGTTCTGTGACCCAGAGGACTCTGGGGTCAGGGCCATTTCCTCTTAGGAGGAGACTGGGCAGGGCCAGGCAGAACCTTTGCCAAGTTCTCTTCTTCCCTCCCTCCCAGCTACCCGAGGGGTTTCCCTGGCCACCAGGCCTCACAGGCCTGGACCTCAACCTGGTAGAAGTGGCCCCTTTTGCTCCCAAATCTGTTTCTCCGTGTGGGCCCCATCTTGGTCCCCAACAGTCCTTATTGGCCATCCCAGAACACCTGCCCGTGAACCCCCCATGGCCACCTTTCCTGCCCTGCTCACCTGAGCGGGGGAAGCTCCTCTCTGGTGCTCTGCCTTTCACTGGTCACTGCATTCCAGCCCTGAGGTCACCCCTTTCCCACCTCCACCCTCTGCATGTGGAGACCCCTGCCCCCGAAGGCAGGCCTCGCCTCGCCCTGCCTATGAGTGGCCGGTGGGTAGCCTGTGCTGGGACCTCACTGGGCTCCCTGAGTACAGAGCCTCCTGTCCGCAGGGCCAGCGGGTCTCAGCCTAGCCCTGGGTTCAGTGCATGCCTGATGAGGACCCCAGGTCTGCAAACGTCTCCTAGCACAGGGACAGCTAGGGGCGGCTGAGCAGCTCCAACCCCACCAGGATTCCCACTCTGGGGACACAGAAGTAGGGCAGGAACAGCACCGGCCTCGAGTGGGCACTAAAACCAGGTCTGTGCAGCCTGGTTTGGGGGCTGAGAGGGAGGCCCTAGTGAGGAGGTGACATGGCTGGTGGACTGTGCTCCGTGAGGGTGTGTGTTTGCCGGGGGATGCCCCAGAGGGACGACAAGTCAGGCAGCCCAGAGAGACCAAGAGGGCTGCCCAGAGAGGCCTGGCACCAGGGCTGCATGTCAGACACCAGGGGGCGCTGTGGAGCTTCGCTTGAGGCCACAGACGGGCGGCAGAGGGCAGCAGGTGGCCACAGGCTCCAGTCCCTGTACCCTCATTGGCCTGGGCTGCCTGGTCCTACCGTGGACTTCCCGGGTTCCCCAGCTGATCTGTGGCCAAGGAGGCCCAGGATTGCCAGGGTCTCAATTCTGCCTCACTGGGCTCCCTGAGAACAGAGCCTCCTGTCTGCAGGGCCAGCGGGTCTCAGCCTAGCCCTGGGTTCAGTGCATGCCTGATGAGGACCCCAGATCTGCAAACGTCTCCTAGCACAGGGACAGTCACTCCTGGAGGGACTCCCACTCAGGGTGGTCCCCAGGGGAGCAGAGCAGCTGCAGCCAGACTCAGGGCCTGACAGGCCTTATGTGGGTCAGCCTTGCAGGCACAGCTGGGACCCCCAGCTGCATACCTGTGCAGGGCTGGGGTCCACGCCACTCCAGGCCCAGTGGGGGCTCCCAAACACACTCCTGAACCCCTGCACGCTGGGCCCCAGCGCGGACAGTGAGCCCCGAAGGCTCCAGTGTCCACAGGGACGCTGGAGACCCACCAAGACAGCTGCTCCACTGGGCTGTGGGCCTGTGGCTTGCCCTCACCTGCCCCGGCCACCATGCAGGCCTGGCTGTGTGCGCACTCCACCTGTCATGTCTGAAAGCGCATGTGATGAGGCGGGGAGGGGACAGCAAGTGGAAGATTTTTTCCCCCGTGTGGTGCCTGGCTGCCCCTCCCTGCCCCTTCCTGCCCACCCCCTTCAGCCTTTGCACAGGAAATGAAGGAGTAACGTAAGCCAGAAGCTCAGCCGCCCCTCAGCCCAGAGGAAGCGATTCAAGTTGTTTACGAGTTTGTTTTCATTTCGAGCGGACGCCTGGCCTGCCCAGCATCCTCTGCACCGTGGACGCCTCGGGAGGTCCATCCACTGCCCAAGACCCTCTCCGCAGAGAGAGAGCAGCGAGGGGCGGGCCGTGGGTGCTCTTTCTCCTGAGAATGGAATGTTTTCTGGAAAATGCTGGTCTCTGAGCTGGCTCCTGGCCTCGAGGCTGGGAGACAGTGTTGAGCTATGGCTTCCAGATGGGGAGGACAGCTCTCAGCCAGGCCCCAGCGAGGGGAGGAGGAGGAGGAGGAGGAGGGTGAAGAGGAGGATGAAGAAGAGGGCCAGGGAGAACAGGAAGGAGAAGCAAAGAGAAGGAGGGAGAAGAGGATGAAGAAAAAGAGCAGGAGAGGGGGAGAAAGGATGGGGCAGAAGACGGAGGAGGGGAGAGGATGCCAGCCAGGTCAGGGCTGGCCCCAGCAGGCACATGGCACGTGGAGAGGAGGGCTCCCCACTCCCGCGGAGCCTGCACCCACATTGGGGAACCAGTGAGGCTGTGTCCGTGCCATCCTGGCAGATGTCTGGGGCCCCTCTGCATCTGCGGGTGTCCTATCCATGACTCCAGGGCTGCGACAGCCTGCCACAGCAGTCCCAGGCTGCAGAGAGTCCCCGGGGAGCGCATGTTGGCCAAGCCACACACTGGCATTGCTGCGGGGTGGCAGGGGACTGATGAGAGAAGAGCTGAACACTGGGCGGCTGTGGATAGAGCCTGGATCACGGTGCCAGGAGGACACTTGGTGGAGACCCAGGTCCTGTGTCACCAGATGGGTCTATGGTGGGGAGTGTCCCCAGGGCTCTCAGTCTGAAAGGAACCTCTGAAACTGTCCCCAAAGTGGGGAGGGCTCATGTGCAGTTTTCAGGGGAGAGGTCCACAATGTCCATCAGCTTCTTCAATGGGGAGGGTCTCAAAAGTCTGGACCCTGAAAGAAAGGAGGGCAGTGTGGGGGGAGCTGGTGAGCAGCGGGTGGTGCCCCACACGTCTAGAGCCCGGGGAGATAGCTGCTGTGGTCCTGCGGACAAGCAGGGGCGTGGAGGAAGTGCTGGCATCTCACCCAGAGGGGAGGGTGGCCACAGCACCCCCAGGTGTGACTCCTCTCCCTGTCCCCAGTTGCTTCCACCCAGAGGACTGGCTCCCCAGGCTGCACACTGTGTCCTGGGGCCAGCCCAGCTGTGAGGTTGGCTGCACCCTTCCTTCACCAGGCATGTTTCTGAAAACAAAGCAAAGCAACCTTCTGGCACCCACCCACTCCCATGGCTGGGAGCCACTTCCCTTCCTTGAGGAGGGGCTCCGCTTCCCTGGGGGAATCCTGGGGCAGGAGGCTCTGCCTGGCCCTCCTGGGTAAATGTTCTCGCTGAAGCCCTCCAGTGGACAGGGTCTCGTCACCCCAGGGATGGGCTGTCCTTCCTGGGGCGGGCAGTGTGGTACTGTGATTGACAGGCCCTCTAGAGCCAGCAGGGAGTAGGGGAGGGGGGATTTCCAAAACAGGTCCAGAAGAAGTGACGGGAAAGGGACCCACCAGCGAGTCTTCCCGTTGTCCTAAGTCTCCCCTTTAGGCAAGGAGGATTGGGGCTCAAACCCATACCTCCAACTGGTTCTGGGGGCACACACCTGTAATCTTGGAGACTTGGGAGGCTGAGGCAGGAGGATCACATGTCCAAGGCCAGTCTCAACGACTTAGCGAGGCCCTATCTCAAAATATAAAATAAAACTGGCTGAGGATGCAGTTCAGTGGTAGAGCCCCTGGTTTCACGTCCCAGGACCACAAAACCAAACCGCTCACCTCCGTCTAGGGAGCAGCCTCTCTGCACACCAGCTGCCAGCCCACCCAGGCCACACGCCTGCACACAGTGACCAGGCCCCTTTGTTCCCAGGGCTTCCTGTGCTTCGCCCTGGTGTTCTGCAGCCTGGTGCAGGTGGCCTTCTGGAGGTTCCACAACCCCACCCAGGTGAGTGCCTGCCATCCCACCTGCAGCTGAGGGCTGGGAGCGTGCCCAGTGTGTGGTGGGGGAGGGGCCCACTGGCTGACTGTTGCTGCCTCTGTGCAGAGTCAGGGTGGTCTCTCCTGGGCTAGGGGCAGCAGCTCCCTGGGGAGGAGGGGAGAGCACTGCCCCTCCCTTGTCCCTCTGCAGACACCCCAGGCCTTGGAAGATGCAACTGGGGGAGGTGGGTCTGAGAGACAGACTGGAGGGGTGGTACATTCCAGGAAATGCACAGAATGGGCTGGGGATGTGGCCGCCTGGTAGAGGGCTTGCCCAGAAAATGCACAAAGAGGAGGCAGGGATGACGGCGTGTAGGAGGGGCTGGAGGACAGTGGTGGGCAAGTCCTGGCCTCGTGGGCAGCACAGCTGCTGTCCTGTTCCGGACACTGACCTGCCCAGTGGCCCAGCGGTAGGGTCCAAGGGTATCCTGGCTGAAAATCTGTAGGTTGGAGAGGAGGGAAGGCCCCTTGTGCCCCAGCATCGGGCAGAGGCTGGCAGCAGAACTCAGGCCCCAGCAGGCCCTGGAGAGCCCAGAGCAGGCAGGCCTGGGGGCAGGCCTGGAGCCTGGGGCTGGTGCCTAGCTCCACACAGGGCAAGAAAGCCCAGGTGCTAAGGAGGTGACTCCTGGGGTCCTCAAGGGTTCAGTTATCTGACACACAATCCCCAGTAGACATGCAAGATACTAGGCTCGCAGCCATGGCTGCAGCAGAAGATCCTCTGGAGGCCTCTGAGTGGCCAGTCACATCTTTGCAGATGGAGGGCCTGCCCTCTGGGGCCACCTGGGCATGCTCAGATGGAGGGGTCCAGGCTCTTTGCCCAGAGTTGAGGCCTCTTCTCTCTTCCCTGCCCAGAGTTCTCACCAAAGTGCCCACCCCTGAGACCAGAGAGAGGGAAATCCACTTCCTCTGGCCCAGAAGGATCTGGAGGGGGCAGAGCCCCTGACAGCTAAGGTTCTGGGCAGGAGGATCCAGCAGTACAGCTGGAGGAGAGGAGGACCAGGCCAGCATTTGGGCATCACGTTTCCTGTCCACTGAGGAAGGAGCGATCTGGCCAGTTGGAGGTCTGGGTCACAGCTTGGGTGACCTGGTCAAGACAGCTGCCAAGTACCCTGGGCTGGCTGGGGCTCTGAGCCTAGGACTAACAGTTCAAGAGAGAGGGGTCCTCGCAGGGCCCACCAGACAGAGGCCAGCTGGGACGTGTTGGTCAGGTCCTGACAGAGGCCTAGTGGGTGAGGAAGGCCAGAAAACAGAGCTGTCTACACTGCTCAGGCTGAGGTGGGCACCAGACTCCACCTAGCCAGTCACCCCGTCCCCCTGCACCTCCCCAGAGGGCCCCCTAAGATGTGCTGAAGCAAGTAGCGGCTCAAGATGGCTACCGGGGCCACTGCAGCTGGCAGGCCTGAGGACAGGAGGAAAGCCCAGGCCCGGCCAGGGCTGAGAGTGGGGTGCCCTTTCTATGCCCCACTCCAAGGAGCCCCCACTCAGGGGGTCCCCAGATGTCACTTCCCAGGCACCAGCAGGCAACTGGAGGCTGTGGAGGGCAGCGATGCAGACCAGGCCGTGGGGCAAAGAGGCTGCTGGTCACTGCTGTGGCCTCATGGCCACTGCTCAGCAACCTCCTGCTGTCCCCAGAAGTCTGTGGGAAAGATGGATTGCCCATGCCGAGACTGAGCCCGGTAGTAGGAGGAGCATCCTCAGGGTGGGCAAGTCCCCTCCCTGAATGCTCTGAGCTTAGCCTTCAGGGAAGATTCACAGACCCTCTGCAGCTCCTCATGGGATCTCCTACCTGGCCCCAGGACCTATTGGTGCCACCCTGGACCATTGAGGGGGTAGGATACCCTGGCAGGTATCTGAGAAGACCCTGTGTTGGGGGTGAGCCCCCGGGTCCGTCCCAGACCCTAACCCTCAGTCCGCAGCACCATGAAGTGCAAGATCTGATGGACGTGAGTGCCGTAGCTCAGTCCCCTGGCCAGCACGGCTGTTCCCTGGACAGCTGCAGATGAGGCTCAGAGCCCCAGCATCCACCCCTGGTTTTCCCCTGAGTAACATGGGCCTGGGCCGTACAGAGTCCCCTGAACCCCATAACTGAACCAGCCCTGCAGAGAGGGTCCAGCCTGGCCTTCCAGGGCCCCTGGAGCCAGGTGGTGGGGTCTGGGGCAGGGGACCCTGCCCCAGGGCACCCTCCCTTGGTCAGAGAGACACCTGCCAGGCCAAGTAAGTCCCTCCTCGGCCCACAGAGGCATTATTTACTGCCCTGCAGGAACAGGGAGAGCTGGTCCTAGGAGCGTGGGGTCCTCTCTAGGCCACGATGGGCTGGCAGGGGAGATAAAGTCATTGCAGTTCGGAAGGAGGACCTGGCCCCCCAGGTCAGCTCCAAAGGCCCCTCACCCTCCCCAGGTCCTCCTCCCACGAGGACACAGTGGCCCAGCAGGGCTCAGCTCCCGTGCACACGCCAGGAGACTGAAGCCCAGAGACAGCCCTGGCCCAGATTCACAGTGACTGAGGCCACTTGGCACCCGCGCCCTGGGGGTGGGGGAGGACGGAGCCGTGCTTGGGATGACTCATGAGGATGTCTGACTTTTGTTAACCATCAGTGCAGAGAGATCAATCTGTGCCAGGAGCGGTGTTTGGCTCAGAAGTTCTGTCTGGCACCGAAGGGATCTGGGCTTGGGCAGGGCCAGCTGAGCTGCAGTGCCCGCCTGCCCACAGGCCCACCCAGACCTGCAGTCTGTTGATGGGGCCTGCTGTGGGGACCAGGCCCCAGAGAAACAGGGCTGTGAGATAGTCCCCTTCCTTTCTGTAGGGCAGGCACACGTGGCCAGAGCCGACACTGGTCCTCCCTCACCCTGGCCCTCCAGGTGAGTCCCAGCTGTCTGCATGGCATCGAGTGGAAGGGACTCAGGGCCTCCGAGACAGGAAGAGGCCTCAGGGGCCTCCTGGGCCAGGAGACCAGGGACCGTCAGGGATGGCTTCCTGGAATAGGGGGACTCCACCTGGCTTCTGGGGGAATACTTGGCCAGAAGAGGGCATTTGGGGCAGGGCATGGGAAGAGGCAGCAAAGCCACCCTCGGGACAGCAGAGGCACGGAGGTCTAGGGATGTTGGGTGAGGAGGGAAGCCAGCCAGCCTGGTCCACACCAGCCTCTGCCCCAAGTGGC